AAGAAGCCTGTTTAGGCCATAAATTGCCTTTTTAAATCTAAGAACTTTATTACAATCAGTAACAGGGAAACATTCAGGTAACTGCATAAGTATAGTTTCCTTCAAATGACCATTCATGAATGCTGTAGTGACATCAAGATGAGTTACATTCATATCTAATTGTACACTTAATGCAAACAGATAACGCAAGGTAGAATGTCTTATAACAGGAGAGAATGTCTCGTTGTAGTCCACACCAGGTTTTTGTGTAAATCCCTTGGCGACCAACCTTGCACGATATCTCACTTCACTATCACAATATTTCTTATTAAGAACCCACTTGCACTTCACTACTATCCCTGCACTAGGAGCATCTACCAACTCCCATGCATCATTTACATTAAAACAGTCCAGTTCTTCCCTAATAGCACTTAACCACTGCTCCTTCTGTGACCCTGACAACGCTTCCTGTAGCGTCAGATCACCAGCATCATCCCACGTTTCTACACCAGAATCGGTACACATGTTGGAGAATCCATATCTATCAGGTTTCTTCCGTAACCGAATAGCCCTCTTGTCATGCTCCGAATTTCTCAATTCAGATGACTCAGCATCCTCATAGTCACTCGACAGCTCTACCGATCTCCGGGCGGTGCATAGTCCACACAATGGTGGCACCGCACCGGGGCGTTTCTTCCGCCTGAATCCGATACAGGAACTTAACGCTTGTGTGCTCGTAAAAATAAATGGTTTAAAAATATGCGAGTATGTGTTGTAATTGTTTATTGAAGGATGATACTGCAAAGTGTAATGAACAAATACGTGGCGCTTTAAGTCCAGGTTTGATATTTTCCGTCCCAATGACTTCAAGCCACTTCTGACGCAGCACTTCATTTTCAGGGAATCTGTTGAAATAAAAAAAAACATAAAAATTATTTCAGTTTTGTGCATTTAGTGGAACAAATCATAGAATGACAGCACCTACTGTATGGAGAATTGATACTATTGTTTTGGTACTATCCCTATTTTTATTTCTATTCTGTAAGATTTATTTTCAAAACCGTCTCTTCAGACCCTTTATTTTGATATCCTACTCTACTAGACTCCATAACATACAAACTAAAAATATGTTAGTTTCTTATCGATATGTTATTAAATAAAATACATCACTATTGTAAATCGTCATTTGTATTGTAAACAAAACATAAAACAAATTTAGCAAATGAAATTAGTTATTAGAAACAAATTGAATGTACATACATTTGGGGGCTTTTATTCTATATATAAAACAAGGCTAGATAAACAAGAAAACTAATAGTATAATAAAGTTTTTCTTAAAATACGGCTACTAACCTGTGCATAGTCAAATGAGGTTGATTGGGGTTTTTCCTTGCCCCACACTGAATTATTGAAGTAGTAGACATATTGAATATGCACCACTAGACACTTACAGCACAAAACAATTCAGTTAGGAGCGTTGTTATTGTTAAAAATCGCAATCCAAATCCAATGTTGTTGTTCGCTTGACACCTGACGTCCTACAAAACTATACGGCCTAAAGATGGCGGCTGGCACGCGAGGTAGGTACCTTGTCAGAAATGTAGTAATGTTGCCAGGCAGAGAATAAACAAACAACATGACGTCTCTTTCTTCAAATGAGGTTACTCATTGATTAAAAAGGGACAAAGTGTGGTTTCATATTTCTATATCGATTTGATATATATTTGTATAAGCAAATAAGCTATAGATCATTACGACGCATCTATATAATACCTACTAAATCTATGCCGGTTTGTTTACATCTATAACACCGCGGTACTTTCTTTGACTTTGACGATTAAAACAACTTTCAGATAGCGAGCACGCTTCTTTATTCCGCACAGGTTTTTGGCAAAGAGAAAGATACACACATAGACAATACAGAACTACCATAGAGGGATAGTCATAGACTAAAAAGTGGGATTAAATTCTATTACAAAAAACTATTATTTCGATATATATAAATAACACTTTCCCTATATAATTTCTGCCTTTTTGCTGGCGTCATCGGCATTTAAAAAAGAAATAGATTCCATTCACCGGCAAAGCTTAGCAAATATAATTCAGTTATAAAGCGTGACATTCATCGCCATACAATCGTATTAAGTTTCACCACTCAGATGCATATATTAAAATACTAGCAACTACCAGGGGCTTGTCCCGCGCGCAAATTTAAATGTATAGCGAGGGAACCTAGTCCCGGATAAAAGTATCTTTTGTGTTATCCTAGGATATGATCCACCCGTGCACCAAGTTTCATCGAAATCCATTTAGTAGTTTGCATGTAAGAGTAATAAACACGCATCCATACATTAATACAAATATTGGCGTTTATAATCTTACTAGCGACCCGCCCCAGCTTTCCACGAGTACTGATATTGAATATATTATAAACCTTCCTCTTGAATCTCTATATATTAAAAAACCGCATCAAAATCCGTTGCGTACTTTTAAAGATCTAAGTATACATAGGGACAGCAACTTTGTTTTATACTACCTATGTAATGATAATAGGATCTACGCAATAAGCATACATATTTATTTTTATGCAGACTGGTAGGTCAAAATCGAAAATAGGACACAGTGGTCATAATTAACAGCCTGGGGCAGTCTTGAACAAATGTAAGTAACTTATTATTTTAATATTTGAGATCTAGTTACATATATTGCTAATCTTTGTCTTTATATTATCTTCATAATCTTAACGATAAGATATCTAAATCAGGGTTTCTCAAACTTTTGGCACCACGTACCCCTGTTAAAATTTCCAGGTGACAGCGTACCCCTAACTAATTAATTGCTCCTCCCCCCAAAGAAAATAATAAAATAGACTATTGAAGAAAATAAGGTTTTTATTTTAAATAAAAGGTAACAAACATAGTGCCAAAAAAATGTCTTTTTAATATTAATGTGATGGATGTGCTTGTTTCTTGTCGCAAAGGGATTCAATTTTAGGTGTAATTTTGGTCAATTTTAACCTCAATTCTGACTCGGCATCAAGTCGATTTCTGTACTTAGTTTTTATCATGACCAGGTGTGAAAATCCACTCTCACATAAGTATGTTGTAGCAAAGGGTAAAAGGAAATTCACCGCTTTGCGTGAAAGTTCGGAATGCTATGCCTGTCTAGCTACCCAAAAATCTATCAAAGACATCGTTTTGAAATCAGCTTGAAGGGTTTCATCCGCGGACATTTCTATTAATGATTCCTGTTGCTTGATAGTCAAACTAGATATTATGCTTTCGTTCGTGACCGCAAACGGGTTACGAATCCAGCCATCTTGAGCATGATCAATATCCGGAAAATACCTTTTCAGTTCGTCGGAGAGCTGAGAACGATGCAGAACAATTTCAGCCTTCATTTCAGAATCCACGGATAAGGCGTTCGTCGTGATAAATTCATGCAAAAGAGGAAAACATTCAAAGATATTTGATCTCAAGCAGGTTTTCCAAAATTCTATTTTTTTTATAAGTGCGTTTATTTTGTCGTGCACAGTGAATACACTGCACGTGGATCCTTGCATAGAAGCATTCGTTTCGTGAAACAATGTCGGCTAAATAAGTTACTCTTTTAAGCCATGTTTCATCTTCAAATCGGAATTTAAGGTTGAAGTCACTGTCTTTCAAGAATATATAGATTTCGTGACGAAGTTCAACAAACCGAGCTAATATCCTGCCTTTTGACAACCAGCGAACTTCACAGTGTAGCAGTAGTGAAACATGTTCACTACCCATGTCTCGGCATAATAATGCGAAAAGTCTTGAATTTAGCGGTTGCGCTTTTATGTAATTGATTATTTTGACGACCTCTGAAAGCGCTGTTTTTAAATCATCAGGTATTTTCTTGCTCGCCAATGCTTCTCTGTGCAACGCACAATGCACACTTTTGACATCAGGAGCGAGATTTTTAATCCTGGATATTAGTCCAGATATCCTTCCTGTCATGGCCTTTGCACCGTCAGTAGATATGCTAACGCACTTTGTCCAATCAATGCCATGTTTTTCAATAAAATCATTAATAGTGTTAAAACTATCTTCTCCTTTCGTAGTAGACTCAAAATAAAAAATCTTCTTCACATTTATTTTCATACACATATCTAATAAACCCAAGTAAATTCGGTAATCCACTAATATCTGTTGATTCATCAACTTGAATCGCGTAATAATTATTTTGTAATCGTTGCGCGAGTTGATGTTCAACATCATGTGCCATTTCATGAATGCGACGTGCAACTGTATCATTTGAAAGTGGTATTTTATCCAACAATTTCGAAAACTTATCTCCCAATACACAACTGACCATATCTTTAGCTGCTGGTAAAATCAACTCTTCAGCAATATTGTATGGCTTGCCGATCTTTGCAATTTTATATGCCACAAGGAAAGAAGCACGTAAATATTCAGAGTTAGTAGCCAAAACGGTTTTCATAGTCTTTTTCGAAGAATCCAACTCTTTCTTTTTTCAAACAAAAAAATCTATAGGTTTGTCTACGTACTGCGGATGTTTTGTTTCCAAATGTCTTCGCAGCAATGATGGCTTCATCACGCTATTTGCGAGAACTTCTGAACATATTACACACTGTGGCTCTTGGTACTGAGATTCTTCTTTGCACGTAAATCCAATTTTCAGATAATCTTCGTCATATTTCCTTTTTTTTGTCGATGATGTTTTTGTGTTTTCTTGTTCTCTCGATGTCGCAGGATTTTCGTTTAAAACTGAACTTTTAGCAGAAGTAGACGCAATTGGAGTAAATGTAATTTGTGCAGGTTGCGAACTGGATGTATTACTTGGACATTTTCTGCGTAATGACCCAGTTTTTAACCACTCATTCATTTTGAAAACTAGCTAACCGCGTGAATGTATTGAAAGTACTTTGTTTTTATTTTACTGTCAACGAAAAAAGCGCATATGCTCACACATTAAAGTAAGGTAGGGTTACCAAATAAGGCCTACCTTATTTTTTTTATTTCTTAACTAGCAGGTTTATAATAAAAATGCACTGTTAATTTGAAATACTTATATATATTTATTAAACTTTGTAATAAATGAAACAAAATTGCTTTAGAAACAAAAATCACACTTCTGTGAACACAAATAACAAAAATGTCACTTTGGCCTTATTGGGAACCCTGTGTCTTAATAAAGCCTTAATAAAAACAAGTAAGCATTCAACTTCTTGATTAATACAAAAAGTTTTCAATACTTATATTAAATGTAATGAGATCCTCTTAATCATATTTGGTCAATCTAGATCAGACTTCACGAATTTCTCTATGTATATTAATCAGCCTTTTTCATCTTTTTTTTTAAACAATCTCCTGAACAGTAAAATATTTTCTCAGCGGGTGTGAGTCCAACACACAGCTCATGATACCAAACGTCACAAGTAAGACATTGTCGCATATCATCAACTCTATCTTCATTACAAGCTGGACAGTACCAAGATGATGAAGAAGATTTGTTATCGCGACGTTTTGGTTTAGATCCCGTAAGCTTATCTGCGATCAAAGAAACAGTCTTTACTGAGGTTCGGTGTCGCGTAGCAGTCACTGCAGGTTGTGCAGATGTACAGCCAGTAACTGCTACTTTTGGTGACTTTGTGTTTATCTTCATCATGGAAGAAGTACCAGGAACATCTTCTTTTCTTGACGATGGTACAGTAATTTGTGATGTGGAATTCGTAGCATTGTCACCAAACAAATCTTTTGTTACTTCTTGAGCCCTGTAATTTAAAGACTTCTTTCGTGGCAAAGTCGGTTTAACTTTAAATTTAGGTGTGGGTAAAAAATCATGAACCTCACACGTGGTTGACTGTTTGTTTATCTTATTTGGAGTTCCAGAATTCGGAGATTTGTTTTTTGAGAGCAAGGACAGTGGCAAATTCTCAGTGTCTGTGCCTGACCCATCTGAATCTTCCACATTTCCAGTTGAAGTCGCCTGTTCCCTCAATGCATCAGAGAAGACAGCAATATTCTCCCTGTTTGAAGGAACTGGGAGTTCTGACAACGCAGAGGGCGCAAACGCCTCTTCAGAAATAGCATCTGGGTTATATGGATACAACCCTGTAGCGCGAAACCCATTCGTGATATTAGAAATTGTCATATATTTCGGCCATACCTGTGACAGAATTACATTGAAGCTAGTCTTGTTAAGGGATCGTTCGGGATGCTGACTGACGTATTTAATCAACTCTTGGTCCCAATGATGCTCAAAAGAACGATAAACAGATTTATCCATGGGCTGTAATTCATGCGTCGTATTTGACGGAAGACAATATAAAGTAATGCCACATTTCTCAGCTTCCTCGACAATAGTAAAGTCCAGGTGGCATTTTGCACCATCAAATATGAGGAGACATGGCCCTGATGTTCTGTATTTATTCAAATGATTTATAAACTCTATGAAAGTCTCTGTCGTCATACTTCCTTTTGGCGTCATCTTCACCAGAGAGCCTGGAGGTAAATTATCTTGGAATTCCGGCTTTAATCTCTTGCCTTTAAACAGTATCATTGGCGGAATAGCTGATCCTATAGCGTTTCCGCAGCCTACCACAGTCACACTTTCAGCATGCTCATTCGCTATTTGATGAACCCTCTTTCTCCCTCTGGCTGTCAGAACTTCCTGCTGATGGTGCAAAGATATGCGGCAATTTTTTTCATCGATGTTGTAAATGCTTTCAGGTTTATGTTCAATTCCCAGTCTATCTAGCACGCTTTTGTATTTGGAAAAGTGATCGCCAACAATATCTTTATTTAATTTTTGAGCACGAGCTGGATTCATCATCTGTGCTTTACGACGTGCTAACTCAGGGTGTCGTTTGAGAAATAACCTCAACCATTTCTTCCCCGCAGCATTTTTAGCATCATTAAAAGTGTTAGGAATTTTCTTAATTTTACAGAATGAAAAAGCCTGTATGCGCAACATTTTTGAAGTCATCGGCACTCCAACATCAGCCAAACGTATGATTCTTCTGACAAGTCCAGCTTCATGTTCTGTAGTCAATATAGCCGACCGACCTAGCTTTCGTGTAGTCGAACCACTCTTTAGATGGTTGCGTAGGGTTCTTCTTGGGATATTATATCTGGCTGCAGCAGCATATGTAGATAATATTCCCCTTTCTACCATTTTTACAGCGTTTTCCATCTGTTGCGAAATCCATTGAGCCCTTCTTTTCCTTGTGGTAGAAGCTGGTGATCCGCTTTCCATGATGTTACTGAAAACAAGAGTTTACTATTTTACTGTGATACTTTTCTAACTCAAATAAAACATTGTCCTAATAAGGCCTGTACCTGTGCCGTTATAAGGCCTATACATATTTTTAATAGGCCTTATTAGGACATAGCACATGGGTAAACAAAACAACAATTAAATGTAATACACCGATTTTACAGCGTTTTCACTTATGTAAGTAGATGGCTAAACGTATAAATAATCCTATAGACAAAACCTAGCACACAATGTACGAATAAAAATAAAAATACTTACTGTTTATTCTGCCAGAATTTTATAAAAACAAGCGTGCGCTTCGCGTCGTGATTGTTTTCGACTGCAGGTTCTAACATGTTCGCGGCACGGGCTGCTTACTGTGCGTGTGTGCGTTAGTTAATGTACACGCACACTTCTACAAACATTAGCGGCCATTTGAAATCGAGAAGCGGGAAATTTAAAAAATAGGCCTTATAAGGACATAGGCTTTATTTGGGTCACCCACCTTAAAACAAATGAATCAAACACGGAGTACAGGTGGAACGGCGGGGGCCGGGGAGAGCGGCGTGGCGCGCGACTCGCGCGAGAGCGAGCGAGCTACGAATTCAGTCAGTCGCGCGCGCGCCACCATGCGTGTCGGTCGTGCGCGTCTGCCAGTTATCAAGCAGCCATTACGTAAATCTTGTCGCGTACCCCTTGCCCTCGAATGGCGTACCCCTAGGGTACGCGTACCCCTCTTTGAGAAACCCTGATCTAAATTTTAAAATGGCCTCAGTAAGGCATTAAAAAATATATCAAACAAAAAAACAATCCAAATCACCTTATTCCTAAACATATACCTAAGTAAATATTCAAAAAACTAACAACTTCATAACTTTGGTCATCATCATCATCAACAGCCTATAAATGCCCACTGCTGAGCAAGGCTTCTTTTCACTCGGAGAAGGTTTGAGCATTAATCACCACGGTTGCTCAATTCGGGTTGGCGATTACAAACTTATAATTAGAAATTATTAGCTCACGTTTCCTCACGATGTTTTCCTTCACCGTTTATCAGTGGTGTCTAGATAATCTTAGAAAGTAGGTATATATATGTAACTCGGAAAAAGTCACATTGGTACTTGCCGATGGTAGGTTTCGTACCCTCGTGCACGAGATGCGAGCGTCTTAAACCTCTGGGCCACCACGATATAACTTTGGTAATTGTACCTAACCTAGTTGAAATTTACTAAATCAAATTTGAAAGTTAATAGAGCAGCTGTATGAGAAGTTCCTGGAGCAGAGCATGGCTTTAGTAGTTTCTTAACAACATCAGTGATAGGTATGCAGGATTGGTCTTCTTTATCAGGGAACAAAAATTTAAAACCTAATTTCTTTTTCAAAAAAGAAACTAGAAACATATTTTGGCCTTTTGTTTAATAAAATCTACGACCACCAGGTCAATCTCCTTCTTCGCTCATTGAGGGTATATCCGGCTTTAGGAAATATCCGATCGCATGGAACAGATGTCGCAACCAGATTTAGTCTTTGTATTACATTACATAATTAAATGAAAGTGAATAAATTTTTCCTGGCGTGCCACCACTTTAGTGGGTCTTCTGGGCGTTTTAGAAGCGGTTCCTGTAGATATTTTTCCAGCTCTCTCAAATCTCAAAAACTTAATGGCAGCAGGAATTCCTGCTGCCATTAAGTTTTCGGGCGTTTGTCTGGCTACCTCCTGGTCAAAATCAAACCAAATCGATGTTTCACTGGTACTGGGACCTGGTATCACCGGCTTTGATGTTGTCATTGTTCTTGATGGGACCGAAGAAACACGTCCAATTTTCAATATCAATTGTTGTATGGCCTTATCACATAATTTTTGGTCACAAAAGCCTTTTTGTTTGAATCGTGGATCCAAAATGGTTGACTCCGTATTTAAAACATTTATTTCAGTGTTATTAAATCGATGGCTGAGCTCCTTGTGTAAATTTTCAATTAGTGCTTTTATTTCAGGAATATCATTAATTCTATTTTGGAGTAAGTTTTTGATTTGGTTTAACATGATGCGACATATAGGTATCACTTTAGATAAAGAAACGTTTTTCTCTGCACTTATCTCTACTGTGATGTCGTAAAATAATTTAAAAAATGGCACAACAGATTCGATTACCAACCAATCAATGTCTGTGAGTAAAAGGTCACTACTAAAGTCATGACAATGGCCTGTTTTGCTGAACAAAATCTGTGCAGCATGTCATATGTGGAGTTCCACCTGGTGGCAACATCCTGTTTTAATTTGAGAAGAGGCAAATTGAGCTGTTATTGTATCTCTGTCAGTTTATGCTTCGCCTGGGAACTTCGCTTGAAGTATTCTACTATACTCTTCACTTTAGATACATAAGGGCCCAATTGTTGCAATGCCGATTGAACACACAGATTTAAGGTGTGGGCAATGCACGGAATTTGCCGCCAATTACTCTCTCTAAGGCTGCCGTGATGTTGGCCGCGTTGTCGCTGGTTACCGCGGTAACCAGCGACAACGCGGCCTTTGTGCTCATGACTCCACTCTCTCATAATGCTTTTTAAGAATTCGGAGGTTTTGACTAGTGTGGCTGTCACTATATTCAACATATAAATAATGGACCGTGACTGTTATAAAGCTGTCGTTATTATCAGAAGTCCAGCCGTCAGTTGTAAGGCAAGCGGTCGCATTTTCTATTTTAAGTTTAACATTTTCCTCTTGTTTATTTTTCATTTTTGGGATTAGTGATAGAGATAATGTTTTTCTTGTAGGTAGTTTGTAGCCCGGACACAGCTATATATAATTGTTTTAAACTCTACATCCTCCACTTAACTAACATCCTTTCGCAATCACGCGCACAAGCTGTTCGTCATAAAGTTCCGCACGACGAAGTGGCACGGATTTCATGCTGTGTGCAAATTCCCTGATGGTGGGCTGAGTACGCACTGAGGAGGTAATCCAGCGATGGAAGGTCCAGCCTCAGTGGCACTAAAAGTGGCTGAATCAGACGCTCTTGATATCGATGTGATTGTCTCCTGTGCGGCCTCTGAGAAAAGTGACGGCTGCGATGGCTGCCTTTCAGGAACTAGGGGCACTGTGGGATGTTTGGTGTCAACTTACATTTATTTTACATAAATGTGTTTACATTTTTTACTATTCTTTGGCAACTGTGTTTACATTTATTCTATATTACTATCAAGCTGATTGACAAGTAATAAAAAAAATTAACATTACTCAGCAAAAATCACCTTGATTCAAATTAAAATAAATAAAATAAAATGAATAAAACACAAAACAAAATGAACACGAATAAAATAAAAAACAATGTCGATTAGGCTAATCATTCAAATTTGCTTTTAATACTACTCGTTTTTCGAACATTTCATCCGACAGCTTGTGGGATTTGGGATGATTTATCATTGTGGCGTATGAAAATAATCTTTCCACTGGAGCCGAAGAAGGTAACGTACGCGCAGCAGCGATTCAAAAGTACGATAATGACAAACGGATTGTTTGTTAGACGCAATTAAATACACTGTCACCGAAAACTACTCGTACCGACATACATCGTGCGAGAGTGACACAATTGTGCGTTCTCGCTCTAACAGTGGCAACACCACGCTCTAACTACCTAACTAGCAAACGACAAGTCGATACTTGAACGCGTTTTATTGTTTAAAATGTTTAGTTATATAAATTAATCGTAATCGTAACTACAATTTGTAGTTATTAATCAAAAATTTTAACTTCTTTTACGATTATTTAATGTAGTCTGTAGTTTTGATTACTAACTACAACTATTATATTGTTTAGTTCCATTCCAAAATACAAAATGAAATATAATTTCGTTTGTAGTAGTTTCTTTTTTAGTAACTACAATTTTATTGTTCTCGTTCATTTTTGTGTCTATAGTTTTTATTATCACTTAGGAAGTAATCAAATGTTGGTTAACCTATAATTGGCGACTGTATAAGCCTAATAAATACTTATTGTTACTTTCATAATCACTTAATACTATGTATACAGAAGCTGTTGGGTTGGTATACCTAATTAAATAAATAAAAAAAAATTAACAACTGGTTTAATAACACTTATAGGCCTAACTAGTTCACCCGTGTAATATCTTAAAACCATATTAGTGGCTTTAATACTTAAACTGGAAAACATTTCCTGATATAATTGGTAATTAATGCACGAGATTGCACTCCCCGTGTCACATTCCATTTTATGTCATACCGTGCACACTTACAGAAATTGTAATAGGTTCACACTGTCCAAGTGATAAGCGATTAACTCGTCGAGTACCGTCATTTAAGACACAATTATAGAACAATAGGTTACGGTCACCGGTGACCGCTTGGTGTTTGACAGTTTAATAGGTACTTATCTCGTCAATGTCGCTCCCCGTCGAGTAAGTGCCACACCTGTCGTCGCTGCCATGCCTGCCTTCTTGTATGTTATTTAAGAAATTATTCGTTTTCAACCTCGGTCACATCCTCTTCAAATGTCCCTCCTGGGTACAAATTCTTCACATATACATTTTGAATTTACATGTATTCGAATAGTGTTTGCCATTCCTCATTTTTAGTGCCCGCTCGAAATAAGTTGTAACCTGCTACACCTATGGTACTTGGACCGCCGCCGCCGGAATATTGTAACTCACACGTCGAGCGAGTGTTTCGCATCGCGGTCGGCCGATAGCCACCGCCCGCGCCGCCGCCGCCGCCTCCCAACGCCCCGCGCCTGCCTCCGCCGTCCTCATGTCCGATCTTAGGAATGGGTATGGACACCGCATCCGCTGCACTGCCGCCGGTCCTTCTTCTCGTACCGTCTTCTACTATTGCCGCGTTTGTCTCAGCCGCCTCCATCGACAAGGCCAGCTTATACTCGCGGTCGATACTGATGCTGTCGTCTTCAGTTAACAACTTCTGCCGAATGTCATCGTTTACTAAGCCGCACACAAATTGATCTCTCATATTTTCTTTTAAACTGTCCGCCGTAAAAGAACAATCTTTACTTAGTCCTTTAAGCTCCAAGAAGTACGTCGCGATATTCTCATCATGTTTTTGAATATGTTGCCGAAATTTTAACCTCTCAGCGAGCATACACGGTTTGGGGTTTAAGTGTCCTTTCATTACCGCTATTAACTCCGAATAAGTGTTTGTACAACATTAACTCATATGCACTATTACCAATGACCGTAATTTAAGTTACCACTTTTTACACTATTGGCAATAAGCATTGATCTAATCGATCCACATACGTGTCCCAATTGTCTTTTGTTAGGTCAAATGCACCAATCTTTCCAACCGCCATTTTAGGTCTGTTGTTGAACTTTCACCGCAGAGTTCGCCCAAGGAGAAAAAAAAGTATCCACCGCACCTTTAGAGTTTTCTGGTCGCAACATAAAATTTACACGCTTTAAATCGCTTAATCGTCGCCACTGAAGAGTCTCTGTACATTGGGAACCTCGGGAATTCGTCTGCAGTAAAATTACGT